CTTGTACATGCAGTGCTGCCATCTTCTGTTTCAGTCCGTTATTGCACTCTTAAATCCTACTACTTATTCCTGCGTCTTTTGGGATCTTACAAAGCTTCAAACGTCGTCGACTATTAAATAGTCGACTAATCGTGGCAGCCCTAGTTACACTGCTTTATGAATTCATTTTTTTCTTAATGCATTTAAAGTTGAACGTATTCTGTTCATTACCAGCTCTGTATTTTTATTCTTGGACTCTGCTATAGTAGCTTTGCATACTACACAGTCCTTCTTCATCTTATACTAAGAATACTGAACTAGGCTCACAGGGATTACTTGTACATATGCTGATTTCATTATATCTGAAGCTTTCACCTTGTTTAATACGAGTATCCACTGCTGGAAGAGGAAATATGAGAGAAAATGAAGAGGAGGTGAATATGGACACTATATAAGAAGTCTCAGCGATCCGCCGGTGGTGTTTATGCAGCTGTAGTTTCCGTACCTGATCTGTAGCGCTCGTCTCTGGTGCCGGAGGTTCTCCGTCGGTGGAAACGGGCCGCAGAGGGAGGGCCGAGGGGGGCCCGGTGAGACATTGGCCCCTCCATACCTACAGAGCCAAGCAGACAAGCAGCGACAGATGCATACATATATATATAGAGAGACACAGACATACACACACGTGCACAAATACGTTTGACAAAAGCAAAAGATAGGAGGGCCAACAAAGAAAAATAAACATGGAGATGATCTGACTCAGCAGAAAAATTAGATTTTTCTGGCATCTTAAAATGAAAGAATTGATAAAGAAAAAGAAGGTAAAAAATAATAATAATAATTCAAAAAATGTGGCAGTTTCTTCTCTGCTCTCTGATAGAACATCCCTCAGTATCCAGTGAGCCGTTATTGCTAAATCATCCGATATACGATAAGGGTAAACCAGATTGGGTGACACATATGTGTGTGTGTGTTTTAGCTGCAGGAGAGCCTGTAGGGCGTGTGTGTGTGCGTGTGTGTGTGTTTGAAGACAGCGACTACAGCACGTTCAGATAAAGAGGAGCAGGCCCAAGCTGAGCTCTAGGGAGTCCTAACCTACATTCACTAATGGCGGCGGCTGAAGACTGAATCGATAGAGTCGAGTACAGTATCGTTGCCACTGTATTTGTCATGATACCGGATCGATTCTCTACTAGCGGTATGGGAATATTTTCGCGGCGTGGGGAGTGTGTGGGGGAGTCAGAGGTTGCTAAATTACCTCCAGCATGTGGAACATATGCCCTGATCAGCTTGGACCTCTTCTTCTCATAACCCTTCTGAGTGATGTCCCCTGCGAACAGATAGAGATAGATAACGAATGAGAGAGCCAGCGGAGGCTGCGTGGGTGTTTCCCTTCATCTTTTTTCCCCCAGAAATTGTGTCCATCAAACACGTTTTGGTTGCTTATACTGTTTTTGTTTTCCTTTAAAGAGGACCTATTATGCTGATTTCCCACTCTTTGTTTTAAACCCTGATTCACAGTACTGGGCCTTATTGCAGCCGTCTTCAGTGTATGAAATAAGCTGTTCCCCTCCTGTCGATACAGTTGTCTTCTCATTGGCTGCCCCTCGAAAAGAGACATTTTCAAAAGCAGGTGGGTGTGGCTTCTGTACTCGAGCTGTGTGCCTAACATGACCATATAAGGAAATCTGCTTTTGCTGACATCATAATGGTGGTAACACTTTATTGTAACAGTTGTGAATAACTAGAAATTTGATAGTTTATTAATCCTCACATGGAATTTCCATTATTGTAAAGTTGTATCTGATATTTATAAATCGTTTTAAATAATTCATACTGGATAATGTATATATAATGAATTAATTTGGCTGAGTAGGTAGTTTAGCAGCTGGATAAATAACGAGACTGTTACCTGGAGATGGTGGTTTTATTTTCACTGCTTTATATTCATTTATGCTAGCTGTCAGTGCTGTTAGACAAGACTGTGGATTGGATGTTATGACAGTAAAGAGCAATGTGTGTGTCGTTACACATGCGTTGCAGTGTGTCTGCTTTGATCTGAGCTGTTCATGTTGGGCTTGGAGCTTATAAATAAACATCGGCATCGTGGCCACGCTAGATACAATTACAACCTATTACAGTCTGTTTCACAAAGAGAATACACTGGGCGTGGCTGCACGAGAGTTGATCGCATCCTCTCAAGGCAAGGAGAGGATCCCAGAAATGGCTCTCTGTTCAAATGGCATCAGGTGTGTTTTTCACAGGAGTGGGCAGGAAGTCGGACACAGGTGGAATCTGAAGCTGTGTGAGGGATGATCTGTCTCACTGTTGTGGCCACATGAGCAAAGGGGCCAACATTTACACAAACCTTGTCCTTGTGTCTGAGGTGCCAGCAACTTTTTATGACACAATAATAACACCAGTTATTATTACAAGATAATCTAATTGTTTGTTAACACCCCAATAGCTATATACTAAATTTCACATAGCTATTTAACTATTTACTGTTTATTAATGACAGTTATGATAAAGTGTTACCAAAACTCCTGAGATGGTGCTTTATTGGGATTACCTGTGCATGCACTGATGTCAGTATTTAGTAGGCAGTAGTATTTCAGCCATGTTTAAACCTCTACCACTGTGACAGCATAGCTACAGCACAGAGAGTAAGGACAAGCATAACAGGTCCGCTTTAAATAAGACGGTGCGGCCTCATTGGTCTCGTGTCACCCAGCCTCCTCTGTCTCTCAGTCTTTTAATGCTTCTGTCCGACTGTTAATTAAGAACATAAACATAAATAAAACAACATGAAATGAATAATGAATAATGGAGATGATGAATAATGTTATGCACTGCACAGACTCTGCAGTTCAACAGTCAAATGCTACATGATGTTTTTTTCCCCAATGCATACAGAAGCTTTCAAGGTCGTATGATAATCTGAGCATCATTATAATGTTATGTGGCACAATTCTTTGTTTTGTTCTGCAGCACACCAAGGTCTTGTTCGCTTTCTGACATCAGAACATCAATGCTTGACATTCACGTCGGGTTTAAGCGCCACAGCAGGAGGAGCCTCTGTCTCGGGTGTCACGTTTATATTTCTGGAGATAAAGCGTCCCAAATGAAAACCTGAAAGAGCAGAAACAAAGCTGCAGAGACCCGTGATGGATGACTGGGGGAAGGAAATTTCATCTTGGCTTTTGGACTCCTGTCCAGCAGGGAACACGAGTAAATACACTTAGTGCTATCATTTGTACACTACATGTCCAAAACATCACCCGGGGCCATAGAAAGCAACTACAAGAAGCTGCTCATTGAATCACATCTGATTCAGGAAGCACCTCACCCAGCAGTCTTTGTATACACAGTGACCGTCAACGGGCATGATCTTTTCCTTCCTGCACTCCCACTATGAGAGTCATCTGAGGTTTTAGTAATTCAGTTCAAATAACTGCAGCTTTTTCTTTATAAAAGACTCAGAAATAGTAGAAAATTCATTGATTTCTGTCAAAAATTCAGCTCGATCGACTGTATACAGATCAATCACGCGTGCATGAATAGCTGACCATCAGAGGAAAAACATAGTATAGCTGTAGGTAACATATCTCTTCATATAAACTACATGACAAGTGAAATGACACCATCAGTACTCCTGTTATGTGACTACATGATGATTTTAAGAGCGAGTATGAGTATTAGTGTGGATTAGTGACAGCAGCAGAGACTAATGGACGGACAGGCAGAGGTCAGCGTGGAGAGGCAGCGATGCAGAAATTCATTCCAGTCCCTAAGGGAGGTCGTGGCTGCCTAGGCGACCCCCCACCCCCAGCAAAACCAACACGGCCGCTGATCAATCACAGCACCCCACGGTCCTCGCTGCAGGGCTAATGTGTGCTAATACTTCCTTGTTTGTCCCAATTAAATGCTGTTAAACTGGCTCACACCAGTTCACTAATTATTGATTGTTGTTTGATTGCCACGGAGACGGGAGACAAATCACATCCAAAGACAAAAGGACGCCGGGAGGCTACAATATCAGTCGCTCTGAGACAAGTGAAAGTATTACACCGCAGCAGATGCCTTTAAAGTCATCACATGTCATGGAAAACATCAAAATCAACCAACGATGTCGCTTTTCTGTCTCTATATAAAAGATTTTTATACAACATTCAGATTATTTTTTGTTTAGTTTCATTTTTTAAGCATCAATTGTGCTCATCTCCATCTCCCCTCTCTATGACATCAAGAGAGCCAAGAGAATAAAAAAATGAGTGACTGAGAACAGAAAAGAGATGAACTCAGCTAAGAGTAAAGATAAATCAAATATTTTTTTTAAAAAACAATAATGATTACTTTAATAAGTTTATTTTGCTATCAAGTTCACATCAAACATACTTGTCTTTAGAGCCTCTAAAGACAAGTATAGCTCAAGAGACGATGACTAAGCGAGAGCCTAAATTCAACATTTCAACCACTTTTTAGTCCACGGGCAACTCTTAGTCCCATCTGATCAGCAGCGGGCCGGGGCAGGAACATCAATCAAAAACTCCTTTCTTAAAGTTTATAGAAGTAAAAGCTATTTGTGAAAACACTCATATGTAAAAACATTCCAACAATGTGTCTCATGTTGTTCCACTTTCTATCAAACGACTGTCGTTACCAAGTCGTAACTCAAAAACATCCTTTTTTGGTCTTTATCTTAAACGTCTTGATTTCTTCTTAGTAGAAATATAGAGAAGCAGCATTAATAATAGTAAAGTGTCATCCTTCTCTGAAATGTTCACACTTTGCAAGCAGTCCAGTGGCTCTACTCTCAGACTTCCCTCAGTGGAAGCAGCACAGCAGGAAGTCCAAACTGGGAATGAAAATATCCAAATGAAAAAGACTCCAGAGCTTGAAGTGCATGAAGAACAAACAGAACCAGAGCAAGCACAAGACACCAGTCAGCATGGACAAAAGAGGACACAATAACACAAAGACAAGAAGACTTCATAATAACATGAAGGGATCAAGCAGACGCAGCACCAGAGAGAGAGGACAGAGGGAGGAACCCAAAGGAAAATACTGAAGCAAATAAAACCACAAAACTACCGAAAACCAGAACAAAGCAATTAATAAAAGAACCAGAAATACAATAATACAATGACATTTATAGCTCAAACACACCAAGACATCCATAAAACATCCCGGCTTTGTTTTTTAAGCAAAGCTTTCATAAACATTTCGAGGACAGAGTGCGTGTGGAGCACCAGGATGGTCCAAACAGTGAAAGTGAACTACGCTGTGTTTATGGGAGTGAAAGGAAATGTCCCCCTGCGCACCGCTGTGGCTCGCTGATGTGTTTTCAGACCAACAATGGGGCGCTCGGGTTTTGGATACACAGACGATAAATCACTGCTGATTTTTGGGCTTTTTGTTGGGCTTTCTGACAGCTAGAAAAATGTAGTATATCACCAGGCTTCCTGTTTATCTGAGCACAAACACATCTACACTGTCAAATCTATGTGATACCAAAGAGTCCAACATATTTCTGTAGACCTGCCAGGAGAGAAGACGCTCGGCTTCACTAGTTTTATCTGCAGTCGTCTGCTTATTTCAAGCTGCTGTTTCTGTAAAAGGTGAATTTATCACACCTGAGTGGAGACTGCTACTCAATTTACCAAAAGATGAGCTCAGCTGTTTGCACACAGATTTTTTTTTT